AGATATCTCAAAGGAGCTTTTGGTGTTGGTCTGACCTTTCGAAAAAGTGGTGGAGGTATTTCAGTTCTCGGTTATGTAGATTCTGACTATGCAGGAGATCTTGACGGGAGAAGGTCCACAACTGGATACATCTTTACCCTCGTTGGCAGTGCCGTTAGTTGGAAGTCGACTCTGCAGTCGATTGTCGCTTTATCTACGATAGAAGCAGAATACATGGCAGCAGCAGAGGCGGTGAAGGAAGCTATTTGGTTGAAAGGTTTAGTAGCGGAATTGAGTTTGGTTAAGCTGGAATCAACTCTTAGATGTGATAGTTAAAGTGCTATTCATCTAATAAAAAATCAGAGATTTCATGAGCGCACTAAGCACATTGATGTCAGATTTCATTTTATTCGAGATGTTGTTGAAGAGGGAACTATCAAGGTCGTGAAGGTTATCACAGACGATAATGCTGCAGACTTGTTGTCCAAGATAGTCCCGCTCGCTAAGTTTGCACACTGCAAGAACTTGGCGGGGGTGTGCATCAACTTNATAATACAATACATTGTAGTGAGTAGAGAGTTAAGAGAAAAATTCTCTTAAGTGTAATTGGGAACTCTCCCCTTCCTTTGTTAATAATAAAAAAGCAATTGTTCTCTGGTGGACATAGGATTATTTTGATCCGAACCACGTTAAATCTTGTGTTCTTTCTTTTGTGTTTCCGCTAACAATTATGAAGAATTATAAGTCCAAGCTTATAGAGTAAAATTTGGGGATGTTAATGACGGTTATTTTTCCAACACTATACTGCAACTGCATATGATAAGGTAGCAACTGCCGAACACCTTCTGGTTAGATTCTTTAATATTTTTATACAATAAGATATTGCTAGTTATCTAGTTAGAAGTGTTAAGGGATTTCTAATTACATAAACTGATAATACTACTGCTTACAAATGGAACTGTGCTTAAAACTGTAACTTGAAAGTGGGCAATTCACCATTCAATGGGGCATTTAGTTTTTTATGCTCTAAGTCTCTGCTAACATATACTGAAAATTTAACAGATAACAGCAATAAAGCAAATGAAAAGGCAAGCAAAAACCGAATTTCTTGCTGAACTGCAAATTTTGACGCGCGTTCATCACCTGAACCTGGTATTATAAATATCTTCTCTGTCAATTATGGTTTCCTTTTTTTTTTTATCCTGGATAAGGTAAAGATTTCCTTTAGAAGCTTCTTTCGATGAGCACAAGTACAATCCAAATAGGATTAAATGTAAAATCTTGCACGGTTAGCCTCACATATATTTTCTCGTTATTTCACAAAAGATACAGCATCTTGACATCATCGCATTCATGTTTGATTTTTGAAATAAAAAGCTAGTTTATAATTCACTTCATTAACATTTATGGACGGCACTTCACATGTTCCCATGTCACTGCCACAAATAAATAACAGAGAGTCTTTGCTTGTTCAGTTGATCGGTTTGAACGGATAGAGAGAAATGTTAAGGAAAGAAAAGAAAGAGCTTAAAGTGTTGTACTTATTTTCCCTCATCTTCCTGTTCCTTTCAATTTTAACCATTCTAACTCTCAGTATAAATGAACTCTTAAAACTGCTAGTTTGTCATATTACAGTATAAATAGAACTCTTGTAAGAGATGATTCATGTTTTACTATTATGTGTTTCTGTACATAGTGTGTGGACCTAAGAAATTTTGAGGGATTGACTACTTCTGTACTTGAAGTTTGAAGTCTTGAATTTATGTATATCATTTACTGATCTGGAAGGGAAGTTTAATGTTGTATTATGCTTTATTAGTTTACTTGTTTGATTTTTTTGGTCACTGAATGCATGCAGGTGTGCTTGATAGGATATTGTGTTGAAAGGTATCTTTTCCTTGTATATGAGTACATTGACAATGGTAATCTAAGCCAACATTTACATGGTATGAGAACTTTATGAGCTATAGTGATGTGATGGAATAGTTAATTATTTATATTTTTCTTCTTATTTGCATTGCAGATGTTTATACGCTTAAGCATTTGTTAATTACTTGATAATTCTATTTCCAGGGAGGGACACACTGCCATGGTCAACGAGGGTGCAAATTGCATTAGATTCTGCCAGGGGTCTTGAATATATACATGAACACAGTGTCCCCGTTTGCATTCATCGTGATATTAAATCAGCAAATATTCTGATAAACAAAAACTTCCATGCAAAGGTCTTATTAAGGCCTCTAATCTTTGTTTTTTGACAAATTGAAACAACTGCTCTCCTAATTGGTAAATCACATACTCACAGGTTGGAGATTTTGGCTTGACGAAACTTGTTGAAAATGGAAATTCAACGTTGCCTACACGTTTTATGGGTACATTTGGGTACATGGCACCAGAGTAAGTTTTTTCATTGTACAAAATGTGTCTTAACACAGAAATAGCTGCTGCTGACCTGGTTTATTTGATAACGAGTATGACAATAGGTGGTCTTTAGGGAAACAGAGTTGGCATTTATTATTGGTGTATTCCAAACAATCTCTTTTTGGAAGTGGTTTAGCTAAAATGTTAGGAAGCTGAATTAGGTCGAGATTTGATTCATATATATATGGTATCTTTGATTTGTTAGGGTCATCAAATAAATTTCCAACATATATGAATTACCCTTGCTGGGAACTTATGCAATGAAAAGGGTGGGGTGGGGGGTGTAGTTGAACCCCCTCAAGTTGGGTATACCACTAGTGATGTATCACAGATAGATGGTAGCAAATAACCATTGCTGAAATATGCAGGTATGGTCGTTCAGGAATTATCACACCTAAAGTAGATGTCTATGCTTTTGGCGTTGTCCTTTATGAATTGATTTCATCCAAGGAAGCGGTAGTCAAGGAAGATGGTGTAGATGATGCAAGAAGCCTTGTTGCTTTGGTAATTTGCTTCTGCATATTTCTTTACCGAATGTTATCGATTGGCACTGAGATGACCTTTTCATGGATTTAATGCTTCTTGCTAGTGTTACTTTGTCTACTTCAAGGTATCATAAAAATTTTGCACCAGTTGATGAGCTAATGATGATTGTTCCCTAGTTTGAAGAAGCTCATAATCATCCAAATCCAATTGAAGGCATTTCCAGATTGATAGACCCCAAACTCGGCGATAACTACCCCTTTGATTCAATCCACAAGGTACAAATTACACCTTTGTTGCACTATGTTCCACCTTTTTTTCCCCTTTGTTTCTTTGAAACATCAAAACACTTGTCTGCCGCAGATGGCACAGCTTGCTAAAGCTTGTACAGAGAAAGATCATCAAATGCGTCCAACTATGAAATCAGTAGTGGTTGCGCTTATGGCATTTTCATCATCGACAGAGGATTGATAATTTGATGTTCTGGTTTGGTCCTGTAGTGTTTCATGAAGAAGAATTTCTTGAAATCAAGAGCTTAATTTCGACTTCTTTTAAAGATGTTCAGAGAAATATTAAGAAAAAATCTAGTATTTGACTTCTCAGATTGTTATAATCAATCTTTTTTGGGACAACGGAAGTACAACAACAACAATATACCCAGTAAAATCTCACTAGTGGGGTCTAGGGAGGGTAGGATGTACGCAGACCTTACCCCTACCCCGGAAGGGTAGAGAGGCTGTTTCCGGGAGACCCTCGGCTCAACAGAAGAGATAATAATTTCAGAAAAGAAACGAAAGAAGAGATCTGTAACAACAAAAGAAGCAAGAGAAGTAATAATAATATCTTAAAATACACCAAATAAGTGAAAAGGAGTGCAATAATACATTCATATGCAAAACAACAAAATAGTATGAACACAACATAGACCACTACCAGACATAGGCAAAATGTTATCAGACTATCCGGTACAAAAAGGGAAAACCTATGAACTACCCCCTAACCTACAATCCTAATGCTCGACCTCCACACGTTCCTATCAAGAGTCTTGTCCTCGGAAATCTGGAGTCGCAACATGTCTTGCCTGATCACCTCGCCCCAATTCTTCTTAGGCTACCCTCTACCTCTTCTCCGCCAAAGACAACGGAAGTACAATTACACAATCATTTATGATATTCTAGTTATAATTCCATTTACAAGTTTATCTTAACAACCTCTCGTCAGAATTGAGGTGTTCTTAATTAGTTGATAATGTGGCTAAATGACCAGTGGCTAAATATGTAACACTCACATTAGCTTCAAGTAATGGCCTCTCAATTCAACACGAAGAGCTTGTTTATTTGGAGTGCAACGGCAATGCTTTTAATAGTACACGTTGAAAGATGGGCGACCTATCTATGGACCATGAAGGTAACTAATGTGATATTGTGATCCAACAACATAGTCAAGAGGTTGAGGAAACGGCCTCTTGCATGCAGGGTAAGATTGCGTACGATAGAATCTTGTGGTCTGGTCGTTCACCGGACCCCGCGCATAGCGAAAGCTTAGTGCACCGGACTGCCCTTTTTTTTTTCTTCATTACACTTGTGACTTGTGAATGCTTATGAGCATGGCCAGGTGAAGAGCTTCCTAAACAACGTATCAATAAGTTTCAAAATCAACAAGAAATTGGTCCACTGGTTCTTTTAAAACACAGCTCTGACGGAAAAATCAAGTAATCAACTAAAGTTTAACTAGTGTATTCGCTTTATAGCACAGAGATTTGGGCATAAGCCATCTTAATTCTCAAATGATAGTTCCTGCTGAGGCCTCTGGTCTACTAGCCCCACGCTGCGCTTTGCTTGCCACTATTCTCCTTTTATCATTAAAATTCACCTTTGTGGTTTAAAACAAAAAAGATACTGGATCATTTTCCAGTAAGTTACCAAGGTGTGAAAGATCTGATTTTTGCAGAAAGCAACATACGACCATGCATCCTCGTACTAAACATCCCCTCTCCCAACTTGCAACTCAACTCACTAAGAATCAATTTGCTAAAGACTTTCAACTTTGGAACTAAAATAGAACCATACTAGAAAATGAAAGCAACACATTACAGTCCTGCAAATATGTGGTCGGTGTCGGTTGGAGGGAACAGAAAGGAAAGGGGTAAAAGATAACACAAGGAGTAGTACTTTTGGCATAGAAATGGACTCTGATACTTCATTCCTCCCTTTGTAATTTAGCCAATCAAACCACTGAAACTTATCATACATTACATGGACAATTTAGAATTCGGATGCGATATTTTAGTTAATGCAATGGCATTAACTGAAAAGGGAGTTGAAGTAACAGTTATACTTTATCATACAATTACCCAAGAGCATTATGTAACTACCAAATGCCAATATGCACTAACATTGACAAAGAAGAACTGTCTAAACATACTTTTTTCTGTCAATAATAAGCAACTTCGACCCATTCGACATCAAGCAACTCATTCCCTATCATTCAGCATCATGCTTATACATCTGTCAACTTTGCCAAAATATCCCTGATACAAAATAAACATCAAACAACAAAGTCTAGTATTCCAATCAAACGGTCAATGAAACAGAAAACAGCTGTACAATAAATGGCGATTTTCTTCTTTTTGATTTTTTATTTTCTTTTCTTCTTTTTTTTCATGTAAAAAAAACAAAAGAACATAGTTTTACACAGCATAGACAAAAACATGTCCACACCAATCATTTGCATCATGAATTTTACTATACAACATATACAGGAGAATTGGACATGAGAAATCAGGCATCTTCACTCCGGCAACAGGAAAGAAATAAGTCATATTTCACATATCAGTCAGTAGATTTCTTCCGAAATGTTCAGCTCTATATCAATGGTTTATACGATGCGTTCCATTGATTTGCCAATCCCTACTACCAGGTACCAGCATTACTAAATGTTATTGAAATAAGAGTAGGCTGGTACGACGCTGGGATCAGAGTCGGGCATCAACCTGCAACAACCAAAGGTAACTGCATTACATACAGAAGAAAACAATAATGACCTTTGCAACTAAAAGTTCAGAAGATACTCGATACTGTCAAAGAAATAGAGAAAGCCCTGATGGGGGACTACCTAAGGTCTATCTGCTCTGTTGTAGTAGATCTTTTATGTTTCTCTCTGTCCTATTATGATAGATTAAATCTATAAAACATTTTATCGGCCTAACGCGAAATGGTATTGCATGAAAAAGATCCACAGGTTCATGAAAAATTATGTTAAGTAACACAGGAAAAGAATGGAGGGACAAAGAAATAAGCAACTCCACAAGATAAAACCCTCTTAATCTCACTCACCTTCTTCGGAGAAGTCAAACACACCTCCCAGCATATCATCGCTTTCCCCATCATCATCAGGTTTCTCTTTGTCGCAAGGACTACTACTGCTATCCATATCAGCAACCAGTTCATTTACCTCATTTAATTTATTGTTAGTTGAAGCCTTACAGTAGCCTTCTTGAAAAAATTGCCCAAAATCTACAGGGTCACATATATCTTCATGAACAGTTTGTTCGTCAATAATGTTCATACTCATGTCGGAACGATTGGAACTTGAGTTTGAAGCTTCACTAGTAACAACACTGTTTGAAGACTGAACCTCTCTTGCACTTATTCCTCTGGTGGAGAAGGATTCAATTTTGGGAGGAGACTGACTATTTAAAACATAGCTTTCCTCAACGGAGCACAAGATATTTGGGGATGATTCTAGACCAGCCTGCACTTTGTTACTCACTTGTGGGGCTACAGTATAACTAGAGCTTCTCAACCCATCATTTTCTTCCATAGATAGTTCAATACATGGATAAGAAATTGGACCTACGCCCACTTCATGTAAACCAGGAACTTGTGAAGACCCTGAAAGCATATATGTTAGACAAAGCAGAGAAAAATTCAACCATAAAACAACTATTAATGCTTAAAAAAAGTCGAACAGTCTCACCAGAAGGAAAGCTTTTCTCAGAGAGCGAGTCTGCCCTGGCAATACCAGTTGTGGTGTCTCCTGACTTTTCTTTACCCATGGCAGAGCTGAATAATGGAAGAAAAGACTCAACATTATTTTGACTGCATAACACTGTATAGTAAGATATACCAACTATTGTGAGAGAGAGAGAGAGAGCTACAAGAAAATGACCAAAAAACATATCACAACTATATGAACAAATGAACTGAAAACCTAATGATGAAGCAAAATAAATGAAGTAAAACCATGTCAATCAAGTTCCTAAATCATAATTTGTGATTCATATACAGAAGATGTAATTTTTCTAAGTGTCTAATGCAAAGACAAATTATAAGACTCCATATTTTTTTTTCAAATAACATATTCATCTATAATGATTTCCTTAACAATTAATATATCTACTATACTAATCGTTTAGTAACGTCTCTACAAAACAGAGTCCATGGGTGCTGAGTTGCATGCCTCGGTATATTGGTGCCTGCACTGACGTATCGTTTAAGCAAGAGAAAGCGGAAAACCTATCATTGCATCTAGTTTTAGGATTTACACAAGCCACAAAAAAAAATTCAGCAACACTGAAGTAAAGACCCATATTAATGATCTACGTGTAACTAACTAGGATCAGTTATAGTATGCTAATCATGTCGGAAACAATGAAACATATAAAGCTCTTCTCATCCGATCTTCACTGTAAATCGTCAGTGTACTGCAATTGCATGCAAAAGGTTAAACTGAGAATCACGAGACAATGACAAAATGCAGAATGCAGAACTTGCTCTAACAATATGAACCAGTTGACCCCTATGAGCAAGAATACACTGGAGCATTTTCTGGATGGCATTGAACAGCCATTCGGCAGCAACTCATCAATCTTTGCCAATAACACGGTCTTTTTTAACTACAATTTTTTTAAAAGGTCTAGACACAATTTTTGAGATGAGAGTTGAAAAAAGGGGTTCACATTTCTCCGAGACCACAGATAGAGTGATCGTAACTTCCATTTTCTTAATACACGGGGCACTATTACACAAACATGAGAAGTATTAAACTGCCCCATAAAGCTTCCATGATTTAACTAATCATAAAAGAAACCACGGGCAACCAGAACCCTATTTGGTACGAAATGGAAAGTATCCAAACCAAAAGTGAGGACTAAAAGCAAACGAAAGCTGTATAATGCAAGAGACACGGCGGCTTATCTCCATACAAACCATCGACTTCTGTACATTCACTTAAATCACTTCAATATCTATACAATCAGTGACATATCGGACGATGAACAGAATTTAAACCAGCTTCACTGCATGCCTACAGACAGACACTAGAATTCTTCAAAAGCAAATGTTCTTCCAAAAGTCATCATTCCACCTATTTTTAACTTCTTGCGTCCAGCAATTCATGGTCACACTATAATTTGTTTCATGGATTAGCCAGCAACTCAAGTTATAAACAAAACCAATCTGAACTAACAATCACAGGGACACATTCACAACCACAGATAAGTACAATGATCAAATGACCACCATTAAGGCTGAACCTGAAAGGATATAGAAAAGATCAATCTCATACACATTTCTAGACACAACTCTTCAGTCAAGGCATAAATCCTCAAAGTCATTCTCCTCTGCTA